AGAGACTGCTATATTTTATATTTTTAATCCCGTTCTAATTGGGATCTTGTAGGTATGCTAGCAAAAGATGTGATCTGAATAAGCAGAATATGTGATCTGAATAAGCAGCTAGCTTCGAAGAGCTCAGTAGTGCCAATGGTCTCTCTTGTCATAGACTCATAGAATGGTTTGAGTTGGAAGGGACCTTAAAGATCATCTAGGTCCAACACCCCTGCATGAGCAGGGACATCTCCCACTAGACCAGGTTGCTCCAAGCCCCATCCAACCTGCCCTTGAACACAGGGTTGAAGCTTCTACAGCCTCCCTGGGCAACCTGGGCCAGGGTCTCACCACCCTCACACTAAAGAATTTCCTCCTCATGTCTCACCTAAATCTCCCCTCTTCCAATTTTGATCCATGCCGCCTTGTCCTCTCATTCCCTGCCCCTTGTCCCAGGACCCTCCCCAGGTTTCCTGGAGCCCCTTCAGGCACAGGAGGGTGCTCTTAAGGTCTCCCTAGAGCCTCCTCTTCTCCAGGCTGAACACTCCCAAAGTTCTCCAAAGTGTTTCACTTCCAACGTAGATAATGCCTGACTGTAGTGAAAAACTGATACTTGAAAATGAGTTAATTCCAAAAAGCTGCTTCTTAATTAACCTGTGTCCTGCTGATGAACTTCGCACAGCAGAACCCTTGTACTGGATGCCTGTCCAACCCGTCCTGAGAAATCACCTTAGGTCTCAGGTTTTGGTACTGGTGGAGTGAAACTCTTGTCTTGAGAAAGTTTGTGAAGTTGTGACAACACCTGGTAATGTTGTTGAGCAGGACTGAGCGCTGAGGTTGAGAGACAATATTTACAGTGGTCCCAAGACACAGACACAAGTATAGCCAGTGGTAATAACAGAGGTGTAGTTTTATGGAACTCATAGTCACTTGGGTTTACCTGTAGTGAGCATTGGGAGGTTGGTTCCTCTACCCTTATGGAAGGGGTGGGTTTGAGCTTAGTTAGGATTTTCTTTGATCTTGCTTTTGTTTTGTTTTTCTCATACTCTGCCTTGTTAATTCACTTTATAAAGTGGAGAATGTTGGAACTAGAACATGTTCATTGGCTTTGTGATTTTCTTCCCAATAGTTGAGACTGGGTGGAATAATTTTGCCATCAGAGTAAGCCCAAATGAAATTACAGATTGATGTGGAAATCTGAAAGTAATAAAGTCCTGCGTTACTTGTCAGGTTAGGATGTCTGCTAAACTATAAATGTCATGTTACTCTTTTTCCTCTTTAATTGATGGAATGCAAAAGATTGTAAAGCTGGAGCTGCCAGAGGAAGGACCAGAGTGTGGAGTTTGCAGAAGATCTTTAACTGCAGGTTACTCATTGCACCAATCCCATCAATAGTATTAATTTGGTTCCCGTGTGCCTGTGGCAGACAAAACTTCCTGCCCACCTGCCTTGGTGGCTCTGGGTAGGCTGGTTGTCACCTCTGGTGGTCTCTGGAAAGGGAAATAAATACAGGAGTGATTCATTGGTGATTTTGATAGTGCCAGGTTGGTTACAGCCCGTGGCAACACAACATTGAACAGGCTGCAGGGAGCACTGGTGGGCAGCAGTGAGGCAGGTTTGCTGGGTCAGGTACTCTTATGCTGGTAATTCAGGGCACTGGGTTCTGGGGACAGCACCAAAATGTAAGAAAACTTTTTGTCTGTCAGGTTCCCAGCTGAGGTCTGGGATAAAAAGCCATGGCAGGATATTTAATGATGTCTACATGAGGAAGAAAACTCTTATTCCCATTCTTGCTGTTGCGCTTGATACACATGCTGCCTTGCAGGGTGTGGAACAGCTGAGGAACAAAAAGAGGATCTCCAAAGGAACCCTTCCCTTGCTGCCTCCACTCCCCTTGCCTAACCAAGGCTTTTGGTTCCTTCCTCCTGCTACTGTTGTATCTGTCAGCAGTGCTGAGCTCCCCAGACTGCCTGGTGAGGAGTACCTTATTTCTGGCTATTGAAGATAAATGATTTGCGTGAAGCAGCCATGGGAATGACACCTTCATTCACTGCACTGATTCCCCTGGGATTTCCAGGGACTGGTTCAGCAGCCTGTCAGAAAGCACCAGGGCCCTGACTCAGCGCCCTCTGATGATAAATAGCTTCAGTCATGGCCAGTGAGTCTTGATTTTGCTGTTGTATCATATTTTCACTTTGGGCTTGGTTGATGTGCTGGTGGTTTATAAGGATAATTAGGGAAGAGGTGTCTTCCCTTTCATTGTATTTGTGCTGGCAGAACACTGCTTCAGAGGTAGCAGTGCAGAGAAGTGATTTGCCTTTTCTTTTGTCTGATTTTATGAGGTCTTGGCTGCAGTTAATATACTGGTCAGTTGCAGCTAGATAAGACAAGCAGAGGCAGCAGCACTTTGGGGCAATTAATTTTTCTTTTCTGTTTTCCAGTTAGTAAATCAACATCTAGGCTTCCTTCTCTCTCCTGGGCTCTGAGCTCTGTTGCCAGATGCATCAATGGCACCAGAGCAGTGTCTGAAGACCAAGACTTCTCCTGGTAGGAGAATTCCTTCAGCTCTTGAAGGTTGAGCTGTTTGCTCAGCCTTTTCTCTAACACCATGTTGAGTAACATCAAGCTGAAAGACCTAATGGAGGTTTCTTGAGCTGCCAAAAATAAGAGAAGCTTGTCATTTACCTTCATCCACAGCAGAGATGGGTCTAGAAGGGAAAGGTGCTTCTGGTGGATTGTCCAGCAAGCCTGGAGAAAGAGGATGCACATGTGTATGTACATGTAGAGTTTTCAACCAGATACAGTTGTTATATCTGGTTTATATAACCAGGTGCTGCCTGGGCATTTGCTAGTGTTACTTTTCTATTCTCTCTTCTTTTTGCTGCACATCAAGATGGGATTTTCTGGGTGGTTTTCAGCTTTCTAGCCAATTCCCAACCATGACTGCAGTTGCAGGGGTTGAGTCACGAATGCTTCAGGAGAACTTTCATAAAAACACCTCCAAATTATTAATCTGTAGAAATATTCATGGCCTTGCTTATACTTAACATCACTTAAGCTGTATTTGGGCTGAGCTCTCCTTGGAGTTTCACCCTACCTGCCCCATGCAAGACATCTGAAACCACCCCTTGCCTGCAGCCACATCTATTTCCATTTGAGTGGACTTGTGGGGAGGAAGAGGTTTTAATCCTCTTTGTAGTGCCCAAAGAACAGTTTGTAATTTATGGTGTTAAGAGCTGGGACAGTGAGTTAGCTCGTGATTCGTATAGTCTTAATAATATGAAATATTGGAAATTATTTTTTCAGCTTGATTGGGGAATGAATAGGACTGGGGAGACTTAAAGTGCAACCTTTCCCAGCCTCATTGCTGCTGTAGTGGGCCATAGGAAGCTGGGGAAGTTCCCACTTCTGTCCTTTCTCCCATGAGAAATCCTTTTGTCGTGCTCTGTGAACATGTCCTTGGCAGCCCTGAGTGGCTGAATCACCATGACTACTTTAATGCACAAGATGTCAAATAAAAGGGACATTTTAAAACAGTCTGTTTTATCATGGACCTCTTAGTACTGAGCTGATGCAACAACCTGTAGAAAATAATATACATGTATGTTTATTTAAGGGGAGTTTGCTGACCTGGAGTTATCTCCACTTTTGAAGGGCTTGTATATGGGGCAGAAACCAGCTCTGAATGAGCATGGTCAGTCAGAGAGAGGCACAAAACCCTTCTTATTTGTTGTGGTGTGTGCACTGTTTATTCAAACTGGTGTTTCCATACCAACAGGGGATCTGTGCCAAAGGCAGCTCTCAAGTTAAAAAAGAAATCGGCCTTGTTGAGTGAAACCTTCCTGCCTTTCCTGGGGCACTGATGGATGGGGAGGGTGCTGGTGGGATCCCACTGTTTGGAATGAAGTTCAAGGATCAATGGTGGGAGTGATTTACTGCTTTCCCTGTTGGAACATCTCGTCCGTGCAGACTCAAGCAGACATTCCTAATTTTTATGTCTGTCAGCCTGGATGACCTACTTTCATACCATGGAGCTCAAATGAAAATGACTGATTTCCAGTAGAGATCCCTGCCACCTCTCTGAAGGAAAGGAAAAGTTTCTGGGAAGTTTAGTTAGCTGGAATTTCATTTGCTTTGGCCTTTTTCCTTGATGTACAGAGCAGTTTTGCTTGCATCCTTTCTCCCCACAGTGTGTCGTTCCCACGTAATGGAGTTCTGAGTGTAAGCAAAACAGAGCATGGAAGGTATCCCCTGAGGTGAGCATTCCTGGGATCATTTATGGGAAGGGTAATCTTAAATGTGTATGTGAACAGATATGGAAAAACAGAGAGACAGAGTAAAATTCGGGAGGGATTGACCTTCCTCCAGTACAGAGGCTCTGTGTGTCAGTGCTCAAATGTGGGAGCCCCGTGGTGAAATATGATGCTGTCATGAGGTGGGAAAACACATACCCCTACGCAGAGCAAGCGGAAGACAGAGCGAATTTTTAAATGGCCTCTGATAAATAATGAAGCCCTCACCTCTCTTCCCCCCATACTGCAGGGGGGTTTCTTCCCATGAGTCTTTGTGGCTGGTCTCCTGCCAGGCTGGAAGATCTTCATGTTGTGCTTGGCTTTGGTGTAACAGGAGTTTGGGGAACTGGATCCCTTTGCCCTGTGATCAGGGACCATTAAGCTTTCCTTTGGTTCCACAGAGCACCATTAGGCTCGTGATGATAGTCTCTGTGATCAGTGTTTCTTCTGAACGCTCAAGTTTTGCTGTACTTCATGGGTCTGAGTTTTGCTGCACTGTGGGTGAAGGAGGAGCTGGAGCCTGCCACCAAATCATACCCTGACCCACACAAGGGTTCCTCCCCGCATGAAGCACTGGCTGGTTTTAACAGTGAAATGGTAGAGGCTGCTGAATGTCGTGAACTTAAGATGTGGGGCATGTTGGAGTGGACTCACATTTGGAGACCTTAAATAGAATGTAGGGATCTTCAGCTTGGAGAAGTGTGGCCTGGGGAAGAAGAGTAGGGGAATGTGTTAAATAATGAACGGCATAAAGAAGGAGTGGAACATTTTCCTGGTTCAGGGGCACATACCTCAGGCAGGTGCTCTCTTGGCCCTGGTCATGGCAGTTGCTCCTTCCTGCTTCCCAGGCCAGCAAGCTGTTCTCTTGCCTCTCTTTGACATCTGCACTTCAGGCTGGAAACTACCAGGGTTGGGAGCTGCCCTGGCAGTGGTTGCCTCTGCAAGGGAGGTGGTATCTGGGAGAGGACAAGGCCAGCCAGTCTGCAGCATGGGAAGGTGCGTGAGAGCGAACCAAGAGAGGCAATAAAAGCTGTGTGCGCTTAGGAATTGCTTTAATTTCCGAGAATCTGGAGTGATGCTGCTGATCAGAGTGTTAAAACACATTTAGGGAAATAGTGATTTTCAGGCTGCCAGTGCAGCTTTGGAGATCTGTGGCCTTGAACATAACATTAGTGGTTGGGTTGGAGTGATGCTCAATTTAACAGAGTGCAGGGAAAGTGAATAGAGTGCTTCCAGCTGCCTGGGCTCCCACCCTCCTTCCCAGGGTGCTGCTGAGGACTTGAAGCTTCCTGAAGCTTCTTTGGGGAATGGTTCAAAATAGACCCTTAAGTGCTGACTACACCCTTCCCATCACCTGTCTGATAAAAAGATTTAAGAAAGTGGTGCTGCAAAAACTCATTTAGAGAAAAAAAATGACTCTGATGATAGCTCTTCAAAATCAGTCATGCTGCTTTGATGTGCTGGATCAGAAAGGTGCCTGAGCTTGGTCCAGCCCTGTACTTGTTCAGCAATGCATGGAAGCGCCTGAGCAACCTGTTCAGCTAAGTTGAACATTTATGAATTTGCCACCTTCCTGTTACTTGATCTCTACTTCCCACCAAAGCAGTATATGTGGAAGAACTGGTAGCACTTCTCCAGGCTTCCTCCACAGAACTCTTTAATGCTTATTTAATGTTTTTTTCTGGTGGTAATCCTGACTGAAGTGTGTACTAGTAGGATTGTTTCAGCAGTTTTCTTCCTGCCCAATCAATAATCCATGGCCTTTTCATGAGGTGTCTTCCATTTTTCTATGACCTTGAGTGGCCTGGCAAAGCTCCTTGTGGATTCATAGCCCAGCTGAGTGTTCCCCCCGGCCCTGCTGGGGTTTCTGGCAGTACATCCTCCCTCACCATTCACCCTTAGCCAAACAAATACATCCCCAGAAATCACCCAGGTTGAGGGGAGGAGGTTGGCAACCAACTCAGGGCAGGAGTTTTCAAAAGCCTTTGACTTCAAATTAATTCTGCTGCTGAAGTTAAAAACAAAGCTGTCTTGGATCTGAGGACACTCAGAAATCCCTTTCTGGCAATGAGGACACAGCTGGAGTGCTAAGTCAGACAGAGAGGTTCTTGTAAGGTGGGGGCAATGGTGCCCCCCACCAGCGGTGGGGGGGGCATCCTCTTCCACCCTGAGGCTCCCTCATGTAGGGAGGACACTGAAGTGCTTTTTTCACCCCCCACAGACAATCTTTGGCTCAGCAAAGTCTTGTTATAGAGAAGCTCTCTATCAACGAGCACCAGATTTCATTGACAGGTTTTACTGAGTGTGTCCCTAACATCATGTGTTTCAGCGATTAGTTCTTCCAAGAGATATGTTACCAAGTGCTGAACAGTTGGTAGCACATATTTCAAGTCCAGGATTCTGCCTGGGGTCTTTGGAACTTGAAGGGACACATACACAGTGAAATGCAGGTGCCCAGCTCCTAGCCTCCATCCTTCAGGGGCAGCTTTCCTCTGGCCAGTGACTGCAGGATGTGGAGTTGCACTTGGCTGGTGAGAAGTGTCTGCCCTGCCCTGCCTCGTCATGTGGGGGGCCAGGCAGTGAGGTGGTGAGGTCCTGAAACCCAGCCCTGGTCTGCTGCTCTTCCTCAGTGCTGCACACCTCTTCCTCTCCAAAATAATACCATCTTAGGTCTGTAAAGTGAAGCAGCAGCTCCAAGAGGCATCATCTTCTCAGCATCTGTTTGACTCCAAGCACTAGTATGAGCATTGCTCTTCTGGGGCACTTGTGTCTCAGCAGACTCTGTGGGGATGATACATTCTGACCAAGGGGGAAATGTGGGTGAAAGCTGGGTCTTGCATATTCCTGTTTGCATGTCTAACAAGACTTAATTTTATTTTTCCCTCCTCTTTCACTGATGTAGCTGAAGAATAAATTCATGAAGAAGTTACCCCGTGATGCTGAGGCCTCCAATGTGCTGGTGGGGGAGGTGGACTTCCTGGAGGGCCCTTTCATTGCCTTCGTCCGGCTGCAGCAGGCCGTCATGTTGGGTGCTCTGACTGAAGTCCCCGTACCTACCCGGTAAGAGGATTCAGCTCCCAGGCAGGGAACAAGAACTGGAAACTGCCTTCTAAAATAAAACCAGCAGGCCAACAGAAGCCATTCTCCTCTTCTTTCCATCATCAGATCAAGATTAGTGGTTTAAAGTAACAAAACTCACTCATTGCTGCTTAGTAATGTCAGGTCCTGAATTTGGTTAGAAGATACAAGCTGTAAACTACACCAACATTCCACAGCCACACTGATCTAACAACTTGGCTGTAAAGGACACTGTTGGGGTGATATCTCACTACAGGGGCTTTTTTCCTGCCCCTCAGGGTTGCCCCCAAAGCACACACTGTTCGCAGCTCACTCGGCACATTTTTGTAGTATGTCTTTTTCCACTTAAAAGCTCATGTTAAATGAAGGATTCAATTCTGACCCAGCTGTGGCGAAAAGAGGAGTCAGGTAAACTGGGATATAGAATTCTGTGAGGGTGTTCACACTGTATGTTGCTTGGTAATGGATAATGGTTCAGAGGAAAAGGTCATAAATATTTATCATGCCTCATGTTGCAAGTTGATCTGAGTCTTACAAATACAAATCTGTATTATGCTCTTAAATATTTGAATTCACTGCTTGAATATGCAAAACTGTGCAGTGAGTGTCTGTATCTACCAGACTAGCAAAGCTCAGGTCCTCTTAAAATTCTGAGCAGTATTACCCTGAGTTATACTACTGCATATTGCTTATCATGTAGCAGACTAGAGAAAAACCATTGGTATAGATGTCCAGAACATCTGTTGTGTGGAAGTTTTGTGCAGTTGTGTATCTGCTTCCTTTCTGCAGTTACCACCCCAGTAGGATAAGATCTGGAAAAATTAAAGAGTATCAAATGGCAATTAAGTGCACTAAGACTGGGGCAGAGTTCAGTGAGGAGGAGGAGGAAGGCAGGGCGACCAGCCTATCTCTGGTGTGCAGAAGCCCCTTGCAGCTCCACGCCATATTCCTTGGCACTGCTGTGCATGGGAGACCTGCTGTGCTTTGTGTAGCAGCTTACTAAGGGTTTGCTTTGCCTATTGCTTATAATGATGGGCTTTAAACTGCACTTTTCACATCACTAACGTACAAATCCATATTTTCCGTGAGCAGTTCTGAGGGCTTTTGATACAGAGTGAAAATGGTGACTTAAATCATGCCTAGAGGGGTTGAGGCACTATCAAGTAGTATTTTGTGAGGGGAGATAAAGCACCATGACAAAAGCCTGTGACTGGTGCATTACTGGTACTGGAATGAATCACAGCCCTTGTTGTATGGGATGAAAGTTGTATCATTGTTATAATCTGGACCTTATTTCCATGCACAAGACAAGGGAAAGGATGGTCTGGTGCTTCTGTTTAATTCTTTCTAGTAATGCAGCTGTTTTTGTATTTCTCTGAGTTTCATTAAGTGGCTCCTTACAGTAACCATGTCAACAGCTGTTTGAACATGCTGGATATTCTGGTAGGAGTATGGGGAGACTAAAGTGGCTTCATTTTATAAAATGTTCTTCTTAATTGATCAGCATTACTGAGCTCTGTCTAACTCAGTATTCAGCTTGGAAGTCTAATCCCACTTCCTTGTTTTTTTTAAAAGAAGCACATCTTCAAATGCTTTCCAGCAGATGTAAAATTAGGTATTGTTTGTTTTGGTAGTGGGAGCCAGGAAGTTAGATCTAGGATTGCTGGACAACCTCATTACTCAATAGCATTTATCAAGACAACATGTCCTTCGATGCCAGCATTTTTTCCAGGAAATAGAATTATCCATTTGCTGTCCTCCAAAGCAAATGCTGGCCCTAATCAAAGCAAGAAGGTTCATTAGATGGCTTTGGTGACTACTGAAAAGCCATTTGCAAAGGCTGCATCCTGTGAAATTCAATCAAAGAAATCCCATCAGGGTCCAGACGGGCTATGCTCCTTGACCATCTTGCGCAGCCAGCGTTCCTGTCGGGAAGGGCACTTAACAGCCCACAGCCTCCATGAGAGACTGGAGCTGGAGCCTGTGGGTGCCCCCACCTTCTCTCTCTCTCGAGGGTTCTCCTTTTATTTTGTTAAGTTCACAAGTTGCTGGTAAAACTGGCAAGCCCATGTCATCAAAGCGAGGCAGTGCAAAACCACCTGGGGCTTTTTAAGCAGCAGGAGCTAACGTTTCAGTGCCGCCTATGGTGGCTGCGGGAGGATGGTGACCCAGGACTACCCAGTAGCCACAGCAGGACCTGCCTCTGTCCCTCTCCTTAGAAAGCAGCGGGTTGGGTTGGGGGCAGGGGATGTTGAACAGCCAGGTTTTGGCACAGGGCTGTGGATGCGTTGATCTGTAAGGTAGAGGGGAGGTGGCCTTCACAGAGCCATATGTTTCCATGGGGACACGCTCTCCTGGAGGTGCCTTTGCATAGCAGTCCAGATCGTGTTCCTGCTGTGCTGTTAGGTAAACATCTCATCCTCTTCAGCAAATGCAGTTAGGCTGAATATGTCCTTGCCCTTTAAAGGTGACGGGAGCAGGGCTTGGTGGATCGCCGGCAGAGAGGTGGGGAAAGCCCTCCCGAGGAGACGGAAGAAGCATAACATGGTATCACACAGCTTGCAGAAATGCATGAAGCCATCTTAATGATTAGCTTTTTCAAGCACTGATGGGTCAGGGTTTGCATGGAAAGGGCTGCAATTGCTTACGTTAGCCCAGCCTATTGGCCACAGCCCATAGCAGGATGTGAATGGCATTTCCACCATCTTGTGACGTGGAAGCAAATATGCTCCTGAGCCCCACAGAGGTGAAAGACTCATGATATCTCTGGTCCCTGCCCTGGTCTAACTGACTCATGTTGACCTAGTACTGTAGAGTGAAAAAGGAGTGTGTGCAGAAGGTAGACAATATTCAGCATGTAGACTTCCAGTTAAATGGGTGGCTTATTTCTGTTGATTGTTTTTCCTTCCTTCCTTCACACATTCTTTGGCTTGGAGTTATGTTGAAGGTGACAGAATTTTGGATGCCTGGTAGGAAGAAGAATTCCTGTGTAGAAATTACTCTTCCTTGGATACTTAAATCTTCTGTGTATTTTTTCGTTCACGCTTCCTTGCTAAGTATTTTAATTATTTCATTTATTTAAAAGTAAATTCCTACTTCAAAGAAACCAGCAAGATCTGATGAACTCTCCAGGAAAAGTTCCTCAGCAGGGTGTTTTCATACAGCCCTAGCACTAAAAATCAGGGTTATGGAAGATCCCAGCCTTCTCACTGTGTTGAGTCTTCTTTTTCCTGATCAGATTGAAAAAAACCCACCACCTTAAGGACTTAAGTATTACCATGTTGAATTGGATTCCACAGTGCTAAGAACTCCTCATTTTGGCAAGCACTGAACTACTCTGCTTGCACCATGGTTTGGGTATGGATGTTTCTGATCTGGACCATGCAATGGATATAGCTTTCTATTTTCATAAAAGAAACGTGCTATTACATGGCCAGGTCTGATGGGGGAAAAAAAAATAATGAAGAAAGAGCAAGGGAAAGATGTTTTTTGGAGATAAGCTGTGCAGATTTGCACAGCTGTGAAATAGCAAGTACCTACGAGTCTCAAATGAAATGAAGTAACTTGCCCAAAGGTCACTAAGGAAGCATGTGGCAGAACCAGGAGGCAGGTTCTCTTCCCTTGCCTCCTAACTTAAGTTTTGAACTGCAGAGGCATATTTTCTTCTTTGTGGGTGAGGATGAAATGTATGTCTTGTTTATTAAATACAGGATTGAAGTGGTTTCCAGGACTGTGTCCTTCAGCAGCCTTTCCAGCAGCAGGACTTGTTCTGGGAAGTAGGAGCTCTGGCAGCAAGGAACTATCCTTGTCTGTGTTCCTGTGGTGGACACCATGTGAGAAGCCTGCAATGTTGGTACATTGCCCAAAACTCAAAGGATTACCTGTGTGAAATAGAACATGGACCAAACATTTCAGCGTCTCCTTTGGTTACTGCATTCTCAAATTGTACTCCTTTCAGCAGCGGTCCAAGCCACAGGTTCTGCTGGAAAAGTACCACAAGAGGTTCTTCTTTCAGCCCTCAAGTCCACCAACTTGTATCTTAATTAGGCGTGCTGGATGCTTTGCAGGCATCTCACGTGGTGTTCAACATTCCTCCCCTCACTCCTCTCAAAAATAAAAGCGTTTTATCCAAGATCTTGTTGAGTTTCCTTGGTGTAGGCGCCTTTAACCCTTCTGGAGTTGCTGCTCTTGATTGCTCCAGATCTGAGAAATAGGCTTGATGAGCAGGCTGGACTTGAATCTTATTTTAGTTGTTTTTTCTCTTTGTTTTATTTGTGAGGTGCGAGTAACCCAAGGTCCAGGAGGGTTGTGTTCTGCAGGTTGTCGTGTCTGTAGCCCCAGGTTCCTGGGCTTGTGTGCAGTATTGCTATGGTACTGTGTTTAGACCTTCTAGGTGCATTGGCTGGGGTGACCAGGACATGTTTTTCCATTTTGAACTGGAATTACTCATCTGTGAGAATAAAGCTATTCTTTTTAGGTTTGGTGGCATAGTCCACATGATTAAAAGGTGAATTGTATGTAGTTGGTGGTTGTCTCCTGCTTAAGAACATAAAGCATACAAAAAAGGCAGGAGAAATGGTGATTTGGGTGAAACAGAATGACTGAGTTTCTGGCACATTTGCCTGGAAGCAAAGGATTTTGAGTGCTTTGGCTTTGCTGTCAATCCACCCCAGGTCCCTGAGGGTATGAGGGCTGTCACTAAGCCCCAGAGCACTGGGGAGAAACATCTGATGTTGTTCCTGCTTCAGAGAGATTTTGAGCTAAGTGATAGGAAGTGAAACCTCACCTTCTTGGGGTTGAAGCACCCATAGCAATTTTCAAGTATCAGAATGGGGAGGGACTATTGACAAGGAGATGGAGTGAGAGGACAAGGGGGAATGTATTAAAACTGGAAGAGGGGAGATTTAGGTGAGACAGGAGGAGGAAGTTCTTCAGTGTGAGGGTGGTGAGACTCTGGCCCAGGTTGCCCAGGGAAGTTGTGGAAGCCCCATCCCTGGAAGTGTTCAAGGGCAGGTTGGATGGGTCTCTGAGCAACCTGGTCTAGTGGGAGGTGCCCCTGCCCATGCAGGGGGGTTGGAACTGGGTGGTCTTTAAGGTCGCTTCCAACCTAAACCATTCTGTGATTCTATGGAAGGGATGTGATAGCTCACCGTGCACTGGGTGCAGCAGAGAGAAATTCTGTGCTGGCTTTCATCTGGGAAGAGGGTGGGGAGGAGTGTGTCACGACTAGAACTGCAGGCTTTCTTAGGTGGAAGCATTCATAAATAAATTATGTTAAATGCATGTCAACAGAATCAAGCCCAAACCACTAACATACATTAATGTTTTTTGTGTTTAGAACATTTGGCCCTTTTAAAAGGTCTTGTTCTACATGCTGAAGGCACTTCTGAGTCAGGACAAAGAATGTAGTGTTACAAAGAATGTTTTAGGGAATGCATTCAGGCACTTCTGTTAGGTACTGGAATGGAGTCAGCCAATGTCATTATTTCAGAAGTTGCTTATGAAAATGTCTCATTCCCCTGGAAAATCAGAATAAGGCTGAGCAGCAACTTCTGAAGAGCTTTTTTTTAAGTTTCATATATTTGGATAATTTACATCTTAGAGTTTTTAAAGAGTTGGCAGAGGAACAGTTTGTCTTTAATCTTGTTTTAGAATAACTTGGTTCCAGGAGATAGGAGGAGAGCAGAGGATATGATCTAGGTGTGTGTAGCTTAGTCACCTCCATGTGATCCTTATGTAAAACACTTGAAAGCCTCATGAAGATCTTGATTAGGAAGTATTACTGTTAGTCATGCCAATTAATACCTATTTATGGACCCTGACCTACTAACTTGATGCATTTTTTTTATAGTACTCTATATTTTTTTAAAATAGAAAGTATTTGGATACCTTCTAAGACATTTGACTTAGTGCTTCATGATGTTTTCATTTAGGAATCTAATATAACATTTAATACAATGTTTGTAAGGGGAGAAGTGCTTCTGGTGAGGTGGGAACTTCCAGCCCTGTAGTGCTTCACATTTTATGAGCTGCTTTTGAGACAACGTAGCAAAGGTTGTCAAATAACAGAGGCAGAGCAATCCAATCATCTGGACTTGAACTTGGCCCCATGTCATCTTCTCCCTCTAGGACACAGAGGTGGAGGAGCCATGTTCTCAATACCAGTTTCATCTGGGTGATGTTGCAGGTCAAGGTCTGGAGCCATCCATGGGTATTTCAGATAATTCCATTAGTGCAGAGTGCAGGAACCACTGGAACCTGGTTTCCTAGAAGTACATGCCGTGTCGTTTCCCACCACCATAGCAATAATCCCAGTTCTTCCCATCATGCTCCCACATTTCCTGAGACTTCCGATGCTTGTCCACACCTTGTACAGTCTGGCTATGAGAGACCACTGAAATTGATGAGTGGAACTTGAAGCTAACTGAAAGTCACATGGGAAATAATACAAGAAGTTTTAGATGAGACAACTTACCAAAGGTTCTAGTGTGTTTGTTTCATATTACTGAGGGAAAGGTAGGGCTGTAATTGGAAAAAGGCTTCATTCAGGAAGCTTTCAAGTAGTTTTGAGCAGCTATTAGTGTTTCTGTTTGAAACACAGGCTGATATGGAGCTTGCTGAAAATTGCCCTAGTAATTCCCAGTCTTTGCTAAATTAGGTGAAATGGAGAAGTTGGTCTCCTGCCATGTGACTCCTTTTGTTGCTAATTGCAAGGATGAGTTGATGTGTGAGAAAGACAGACTTTTATCTGGTCACTACTTGGAGTCCAGCTCAGGCTGAAGTTACACCATCTGAGCGGCAGGATGGTCTCCAATGAAATCCCACCAGCCAGCAAATAGTGGCCATCATGTGAGGTGGCCATCAGGAGTAACAGGGCTGTCTTAACGAGCCAGTTGGCAAGGCAAAGATCTGAGCACCAAGACAGATGTATTTTCATACCTTAGCCACGAACCAAATATTTTTTTCTGGATAATTCTGAAGAAGGGATTTGTAGAAACCTTGTGTCTCTAGGGCCAAGGCCCTAGGTGCTGTGTGAGGAAAGAGCTGCCAGCTTGGCACCCATCTGCAGCACGAAACCAGCTGTAAAGGAGGAGTATTTCTACAGGAGGTAATGGCTTTTGTTCTTTCAGCTTGGATACCTTGACCTTGCATATGAAATTAATTTAAGACTGGGAATGTCTAAGATAAGATTTAGATCTTTCCTGAATTAAGTATTATTTGAATTGTGATATCTTTTTTTCCCTCCATAATTTTTCATTCCAGGCCAGTAGGATCTAGGTACCTTTGAAGAACCAACCTTGAGGCTGTACTTACAACTTTTTCTAATGAGTGTCAATGAGGAGATCAGAAAACTCAGCCACCTTTCCTGTTATTCTGGCACAACTGCTAGACAGTTTTATTGGCAGGAATATGTATTTTCCATGTCCAATGTTTTCCATTAAGGAATGTCATTAGAAGATGTGAACCATGGCTGGTAAGAGCAGCTGTGTGGGCAGTCCTTTTAAATGTAGGCAAGTCCTGATTCATGGCGTGCTCACAATGATGAAAGCAAGGGCAGGAGAGGTCAAGAGCAGTACTTTCCTGTCTCCAAAGGTTTCATATCTTAGTGTTTTTCAAACTCATTAACTGTGAGTTGGATACAGTTGTTGCCCAAAGAGATCATGTAAAGAACTAACTCCTAATGCCTTGTAGATGTTGCTCTCACCAGAGGAATAAGTTCACACCTTAAAGTGCTTGCTGAAGAATTAAGCTGGGACTGTGAAGCCATCAGATGATTTTATAAGTCTGTACTGTGTCCTCAGAGTGGACGCTTAGGACATAAAGGTTGGGTTGAATTATTTATGGCTAAAGGCCTCTTTTAGATAGGTAGTTTCCCTCCACTTGTGGGTGCTGAGCTGCAGCAGAGCTCTCAGCCCCAACGGAGTATTCAGAAGCACATGGAGCACTACCTGGTAGTTTGACAGAGCAGTGTAGCTTCCAGTGGGAAACATGGATAGCTCATAGCATCTTCCCTCTGGGCCTGCTGCTGTGCTGACTCTGCTTGTTTCAATAACAAGTGATCCCTTTGGCTGTCCTAAATGGGAGCAATTTTTCTTTTGGCAGGTTTCTCTTCATTCTCCTGGGACCGAAGGGCAAAGCAAAGTCCTATCACGAGATTGGCCGAGCCATCGCCACTCTGATGTCGGATGAGGTGGGTGTCTTGACACCTCCTGTGTGAAATGCTTCCTCCCAGGTTTCACTTGTTAGCTGGTAACTATGGGCTTTCCTCCAGGGTGGTTGCTGTAACACTGAAGTATCCAAATGTCATAGAATCGTAGAGTGGTTAAGGTTGGAAGGGACCTCCAATATCATCAGGATCCAACCTCCCTGCTATGAGCAGGGACACTTCCCACTAGACCAGGCTGCACAAGCCTCATCCAGCCTGGCCTTGGACACCTCCAGGGATGAGGCATCCACAGCCTTCCTTGGCAAGCTATTCCAGCACCTTCCTACCCTCATGATGCAGAATTTCTTCCTGATGTCTAACCTAAATCTTCTCTCTTTCAGTTTAAAGCCATCCCCCCTTGTCCTCTCCCTCCCTGCCCTTGTCCCAAGCCCCTCCCAAGCTTTTCTGTAGCCCCTTCAGGCACTGGAAGGTGCTCTAAGGTCTCCCTAAAGCCTTCTCTTCTCCAGGCTGAACAGCCCCAACTCCCTCAGCCTGTCTCCATAGCAGAGCCGCTCCATCATCTTCATGGCCCTTCTCTGGACTCTTTCCAACAGCTCCATGTCTCTCCTGTGCTGAGGGCTCCAGCGCTGTACACAGTATTCCAGATGTGGTCTCACAAGAGCAGATGTCACCTTCTAATTCCTTCTGTTTACATAATTATATCACCTGGCTTCATGCTTTTATACAAGCATGACTATAGGTTTTGGCTATAATCTGCATTTCCCAGCTAGCAATTGCTTTCAAACAGACCAGAAATTAACCTTGGAATCAGCCTTGTGCTACATTCCAGGATCCCAGTCCCCACAGCTCCGCTCTAGGGCATTACTGCAGGAACAGACCCACCCTGCCACATGCCATTGGGTGTTGCTCTGTATCCCAGAGCACTTCTTCATTCAGGCAGTGCTCATACATTATCCATCAGGAGGCAGTGATTACTCACTGGTCATAAACCTCAACAACACAACTGGGTTTCCAGTCTTCATTTATGGCTTCTTTCTGCCAGCATCCTCTGGGCTCCCTGTGTCTGGGGCTGATGTACATGAGGGTTGTTTCTTGCTTTCTCCTTGTGTTGTTTTCTGTCATACAGCTCCTTTAATTACCTGCTCTCAGCTCTTAGGTTTTCTCTCTTTCCACTGCTTGGAGCAAAGGTCTAGTTCCCATAGCCTCAAGGTTCTCCTTCCTACCACCAGCTGCTCTTACTAAGTCTGTCACATGTTCTCATCCACCTTCACTCCGAAGAGCCCAAAAGAATCGAGTAAAATTCAGCATCAATGCTCTTTTTCCTCTCTTCTGTCATGTGTACTTCATCAACAATGCCAGGCCTTTCAGTGAAGCTAGTTTGTGCTTCTTGTTATTAATTTTGAGGAAATATTGTCATTGTTTTTGTGTCCTGATACTTTATGAGTTTTTAAGAGTGAATCAGTTGATCTTGTAGAATCAAACTCAGTAGCTGTCTCTGGAGTCTGGGCTACAGAAAATGCAAACCTTTCCCATATGGAGTCTCTCTTTTCCTTGCAGGTTTTCCATGACATTGCTTATAAAGCCAAGGACCGGCAGGACCTGATTGCTGGCATTGATGAGTTTCTGGATGAAGTCATAGTTCTCCCTCCTGGGGAATGGGACCCAGCCATTAGGATAGAGCCCCCCAAGTCTCTTCCTTCTTCAGATAAAAGGTAATAGCAGGAGACCTGCAAGTTTAGCTCTGTGATGAAGGAGACTGTACATCCCTTGTGGAAAGGTGATGGGAAGAGTCACTGCTTTGGGTACACCACGTTTACTGAGCAGCTGATGAGTGCCTGCATCTGAACTTATAAAGTCTGGAGGTCTTTTTATTATAAGAGCTGGAGGGAGGAAGTTCTTACAATTCTGTAAACTTCAAGGTTGTGATGTAGGCATCTAATAACATGCCTAGGGGTTATTCAGACTCTTTGCGATTCTGCTAACATTTTGCTGGCTGCCAGCAGGCCAGCCTTCTAGCCTCCTTTGTACCAGATGGCTTCAGGAAGGGCTGTGTAGCACTGGTTTGGGGGAATTGTGTGTGCACTGTCTTGTGCACTGCCATGACTCTCAGTTCTGCTTGCTTTCTTGCATAGGAAAAACATGTACTCTGGTGGAGAGAACCTCCAGATGAATGGAGACACACCTCATGATGGAGGCCATGGCGGCGGGGGCCATGGGGACTGTGAAGAACTGCAGCGAACAGGGAGGTCAGTAACCTGGTGGACCCGTGGTGATCCAAGCAAGGTGGCAACATTCCCTTTGCAGAACTGTTTCCCTTCCACTTTCCATCCCAGCCCACTGTTTGTATAGGTTGAGCAGTGACCCCAGAACATGTTCTGGGGTTTTTAGTGCTGTCTGAAGGGTTCTGAACATCCAGTCTCAGCAAACCACAAAGTCTCGTACATGAGGCTCTCAAAAAGAAAGGATGTCCTAGGTAGGTGTTGACTATCAAAGGTCTGTGAAGTGTCAGGTGAACTATAAGGGATATAAACATGGCAGATGCAACTACAGTTTCTATTCAGATGGCTGGGAGTGCTTTAGCCAAAAGCAGAGAGATTCCCTTTCCTAGACATTCCTGTTGTAGCTAAATTGCACAGAGGGCTTTCATGAGATAGAAATACAGAAGGTCACAGAGCCCCAAAGTCTTGCTCTCTGCTTTGTTACTCTGTTTTTATGCCACATAAAAAGTCCACTGGAGTGGGAATGCTGTTCAGGTGACCATAAAACAGCATGCTCAGCATCTGCTCCTTCCCTGGAGGTCCAGGTTGGATAGGGCCTTGAGCAACATGGTCTAGTGGGAGGTGTCCCTGCCCATGCAGGGGGGTTGAAACTAGATGATCTGGAAGGTCTCTTCCAACCCAAACTAGTCTGTGATCTCAGGGTCAGTACACAGGTTTCCATGGTGGCATTGTGCCCTCCCTCCTACTCTAGATTTTTTCAATTCCCAGTTGAGTATCTGAATTCTAAGAGAAAATTCTGACAGGCTGGAATGGCACATTGGTGTGGACAAGGCAGTTGCTAAGTCCTGAGTCTGGGTCAGAAAGTGAAGTGTGCTAGTCTGCCACGGATCACTCTGAGTGCAGAGTGTCTGACCAGCCTTGGCCTCAGTGTTGAACTGGATACATGGGGACAAGAAGTAAAACAGGAATATTTTTCATACTGCCAGTGTCAGAGCGAAGTTTGTGAGAGTGAAATACTGTCTTGTTTGGAATTGTGCAAAAAGAATACGTCTGCAAGCAGAGCTCTCTTGTTCTCCAAGGTGGTTTCACTTACTTGCTTTTTCACTTCTAGTTCTTTGTCTGGTTAACAGTTTGAAGTATTTTTCCATGTGGCAGATGGTTTCGGTCACCCAACCATTGTGTTTGCCATGTGGAGAAGCTGAGGCAGCAATTTAGACTAGAGTTAATATCTTTTATTATGCCCACCAATATAGTTGGAAAGAAACCAACAGACAACAACCAACCAATTGAACTGAAAACTGTAGTGGTCTGTTTCAGCAGATGTAGCCGACTTGTGTTCCTGAAATTTGTCTCTTTCCAGCTGCATGACATGTTCAAGATGGTATCTTTCTTCACAACATTATCCCTGGCCTGTCACAGCTGCAATAAGACTATTATGTAATGTGATGATCCTTTCAGACACTTCATGTCTGGCAATGTTTCTGATTACTTATCTCGGTGACTTTGCCTGTAAAACACTTTGTTTGAGTCTTCTCTTGCTTGTCTTTTCAGATTCTGTGGTGGCTTAATCAAAGACATCAAGAGGAAAGCACCATTCTTTGCCAGCGATTTCTACGATGCTTTAAATATCCAAGCCCTCTCAGCCATTCTCTTCATCTACCTGGCCACAGTGACCAACGCCATCACGTTTGGAGGACTGCTTGGGGATGCTACAGAAAACATGCAGGTTAGCATGGGCCTTTGGAAGCAACAAATCTGGCATTTGTCTTTTGTTGTCTACAGCCAGAGTGTCTGCCACAGACAAAGCTTGAACTCTGGGTACAGTGGGTAGAGGTTTCCTGTGCTTCCACTTTCATTCTCTGGCTTGCTTTCTCTGCTGCTCAGTGGCTGTTTTTTGAAAAGTTGTACAAGCAGTTACCTTAAATGGTGTTGGAAAGATGGCCAGAAGACAGAGAAGATCTTTGCTCCTTCTATAGAGAAAAATTGCCCAGATCTACTCTCTATGTTTGTGTCTGTTGTACCGTTCAGTCCAATGGAGTTTACTAAGTCTGATTCTGACTTTCTGTGCCATCAGAGCATAGCCCTGTGTCCTCTCCATGACTCTTACAATCCCTAGGCTTCTCCATCTGTTGAAAAGAGGATCCCGGAGATTCGTAAGAAAACAAGTAAACCAGGAAGTGTGACAGGGGAGAAAAATGTGAGTTCTTAAGCATTTTGCAGTAGTGGCAGATGAGGTCCTGAGCACAGTGTTGCACAGCCAAAGACAGGCTGATCAACAGTGAAGAGGAATTGGGGGCTTTAAAGGGTGGTTCAGTTCGAGACAAAGTCTAAAGGAAAGGGATTCTGTATTAATACTGCTGTAGGTCCTTCGTGTTGGACCTGGGCTCTGGGAGTGCACTTTAGTATTCCTTTAGCTTTTTAAAGAGGTTGTATTTAGGTAGACTCCTGCAGCCCCATAGTGATGGTGACTGAAATATTACTCAGATTTAATTAAACCAAACATAGAATAGAGGGGCACTTGTCTGGAGTACTGCAGTGTCTGTGATAAATTACAGGCTCAAATAAGATTCAGTAGCTGGTGGAGTGCCAAACTGCCCTCTCTCTCCCCAGCACAAATGTAATTGTCTCTTCTGAAACACTACTCTGTAGCAGTCATGCAAACAATCATAGAACAGTTTGGGTTGGAAGTTGAAGATTCTCTAGTTTCAACCCCCCTGCATGGGCAGGGACACCTCCCACCAGACCAGGTTGCTCCAAGCCCCATCCAGCCTGTTCTTGAACACTTTCAGGGATGGAGCTTCCACAACTTCCCTAGGCAACCTCTGCCAGTGTCTCACCACCCTCCAACAAATGTGTGAGCGTGAAATACCTCTCAAACTGGGCTGAGGTGGTTCTGCCAAGAGCCTCATGACCCTTCTCAATGGGATACTATCTGGGTGTGCAGCCTTCCCCCGATATAAAATAGTGCTCACCTGTTGAACATGACAGACTCATTTCACCAAAGTTTGAGACTGAGCTGCACAGGAGGGGAGACACAACAGGAGGGAAAGACAGAAGGAAACAAAGACACAGGTTGCCGTTAGCCTGTAGTTTTCTCTGCAGTAGGTAAAACCCAGTTCTCCTATTGCTCAGAGAAAAAAAAGAAACAAATAACCTAGGAAGACAAAACCTGCAGGAGCAGTCTTTTTTGAG